AGAGAGAAACATTGATCAACTGCCTCCTGCTCACCTCCTACTGGGGATGTGCCCACAACCAAGGTACATAACCTTGACCGGAATTGAACCTGGCATCTTTGAGTCCACAGGCCGACGCTCTATCCACTGAGCCAAACCGGTTAGGGCCAGGCTGTCATTAAGGGCCAGGACCCCACTCTCTCCTGCGGCTGCCGAAACCACTCACATGGTGAACAGGCCCTTGCTGAGGGCTTGCTATATGCCAGGCGGGTTTTCAGGTACAAGGATCCAATAGTGAACTAGACACTTTGTCCTACAGAGAATAGATTTGTGGGAATAGAGTACTTTTTTTTTTTTTAAAGGAAGTGGTAGATGGCATGATTTTATTGAAATGTTTTAGTACAATGTTGGAGGAGCTTAAAATCTTATATTCTAAACCAATGCAAGCACTACAGTGGAACTGCTCCTAAACTGACATGCCTGGCCAAGGAAAGTTAATTTTACTAAATATAACTTAACGTGGAGACTAAAGAACTTTGGTGTATTTATCTTTCTCTGCCCTACCACCCCCCCTGACAGCTAGACATACTCCAAGTCTTCTTCACTCAGCAGAGTTGCACAGGACAGACACATTTTGGTGGTCGCGCTTAACGTTTCCACATCATGAGTAGCAAGGAATGGAACATGCTGGGACGAAGACAGAAGCCCATCTGTTTTGAACAACTGACTTGATCAGATTACAATCTCACTCTTTCTCCAAAGCCATTTTAAGACACAGCAAAATGCTAGTTTCTGGAACGACTGAAATGATACTTTCTGACTTCAACCCAACCTCCGCTCTATGAAGTTTGAAACCTTGAAGGTTGCTGTTCAAGTTTGCCAATGACTTAAATGGATTTTATTTTCCACCCACAGAACTGAGGTCAGAGAGTTTGTTCTGTACAAGATTCAGCAGGAGGGACAGACTGTCTTTGATCATTCCGAGGCTCTGTCTACGCAGATCTTCCTCTCTGGGGCTGAAGAATCAACTTCCCTGTCCATCAATGTGCATGTGATAAAATTCACTGAGTCAGAGCTAGACTTCTGCCCGAGGCCACAGGCATCTCCCATTGTAAATAAAGGGCCACCTGGCAGATAAAGCACCCCTCGGTGAATTTCCCGTCCATCCTCACTTTGGGCTACTTTTTTTGAACATTATCCTAACTGATTCTACTTCTCTGTCCTTTTTTTTTTTCTTAAGTATCTCCTACCCGCATTTTTCGTGTAACAGCTTTAGTTAAAATAATCAGTTGTTATGTTGAATTTGAGCTTCTTGCAAAATATCCAAGTGGATGTGTTCATCATGTAAGTGGAAATAATGAAACTTGTCCAGTTTGGGCACTACCTGGAGCAATTATAATAGCTAAATCCATGAGAATGAATCATGTAGCCCAGGAACAGCATATAAAGCAAGAAGAGATGTGAGAATTAGTGAACAGAACTACATTCATTTTCATAAAATAAAGACTGGAGGTAGGTGTGAAGAAAAAATAGAAAGAGGGGAAAATCAAGAGAAACATTGTGAAAGCCAAGAAGAGTGTTTCCAAATAGGTAGCCAATATTATGTAATGCTAAACAAAAGTAAAAGAAGAGAAAAATCCAATGGATTTATTAAGTAGATATGTCAAACCAAAAAATAAATAAATAAAATAAAATAAAATAATCAGTTGCCTTGAGGCTTGCTACTTCCAATTACAAAAGGCAAAAGAACATGTAATTGAAACGAATAAAATAATGTTGACATACTAGTATGCGTCTGGTGGCACGCATCACATTTCACCTTTTGATTTATGTCAAAGCAAAATCGGGGCCCTTGCTATCAAGTTGCTGAACGGAACTGCCCTGCTCTCCGGTACATGGTGTGGCCCAAGTTGTCCTCCTTTCCTCCCACTTGGGTCTGTGTTTCCGTCTCAATCAGTTGGTTGGTGACACCCAGTTCAAGGAGGGACCCTCCCACCTCACTTCCCTGCGCGCAGGCGGCCCCACCCCCCGTGGGCACAGAGCGCTGTCCTCGCTGCCCAGAGCCCAGCCTGTTGCTCGGCCCTCCCTGCCCAGCAGCTCCCGGACTCCCCGGACTCCCTACGGGGCTGCGGTGGCTCGAAGTTCCCAGCGTCAGCACACCTGAACCAGGTCCCCCTGCGGGGAGGCAGCAGGAGCAGCGAGGGACCTCGGCGCCCTGGCCTCCGGCTATGAGTTCCTGGAGGTACCTCAGGTGACGCATCGCGCCTACCTGGGGCAAGGGCCCCTTTGGTCTGACCGCCCTCCTGGACCCTCAGATCTGCCTGAGACGCATCAGCCCCCCTTACAGGCTCTTCCCCTCCAGCTTTCTTCCACCGGCACCTTAGTGATGCCCGCGCCAAGGAGCGTTGGTCCCCTGCCAAGTGGCAGGACACCCTGTCCTTCCTGAGCCTGGTGCCCGAGGGGCTGCCACCGGTCACTGAGCCCTGAGCCCTCCCCAGACCCTTCCCCAGTGCCCTGCCCTGTCTGGCTCCCGAGGAGGCTCCTAGGACTGAAGGTCTCCCCCCAGCTTTCCGTCCTGACTGAGTGGAGGGTGGGAGGAGAGGTTGCAGGAGGCAGGGGGAGGGTGTGGGAGAGGGGGAAGGGACCTGGGCTGGCTGGAAGCCCTGTGTGTGCCCAGCCAGTGCCCTGGCCGCTCGCCTGCATGGAGGGCGGCATTCTGGGCCATAGAATCAGATGAGGCCAATGCCGTCCCCTCACTGTTATTTCTCCTCTTTCCAGCCCACGTCTCTCATGGAAAAGAATCATGAGCATCTTTTTCCTGCCATTGATCTCATCAGGCTTTGCTCCTCGGGCAAAATATAAAGAGAAAGAGAACCTTCCTGTCCGGGAAGCTGGGCCGCAGCTGCACCAGAGCAGGTCTGTGGGGGAAGGGGGGAGGGGTGCTGGGAGGAGGGGA